AGACGGAAGGGCGCTGGCACCCCCCAACTACATTTTCACCCCCATTCCTACTGGAGCTTCGACAGCTATGTACCAGTGACCGATGCTAGCGTTTGTGACATTAGCCCAAGTCGATGGCCTGTGATTCATTCAGGCAGTTCGGCAACGCTGCTCAATAACGAAACCAATTTTTTGCTCCCAACTTTGCCTGGAGAAGTAGATGTTTTCAATTGGCACCGGAGGTCGAATAGGGTTCATCCTTTAGTGGCTAGACTCCTAGCAAGTGAATCTGGTATCCTCAGCATGTCCTGGGCTGTGCAGCATTCATCAGTACTTTTCCAGGCATTGAGCTGTAAATAGAAGCAATTTCATGAAGTGCGCGCGTCGTTGAGAATGAGGTTTTCAGCTACAGGAGTGCAGCATGGCATTGACTTTCTCTGCGTCTCTGACAGCGAGAGGTTAGAGCGCAGAGAAAAATACCCTGGGTGAAAGGTTGGGGGCTAGGGCCGGCGTCGCACGCACGACATCGGTCGAGTCGTTGAAATCTGAAAGCAGCCGTTGACTTTTCGTTTCTGTGAGTACCGCCACTGCTGGTTCATGCCTCGTCCATCGCAGGCGGAGCTTCGCGTCGTTCATACCCACACGAACCAGACTTACAACGACGTCTGCACAGACTATTAGACACTTTCGGGCGAGTTCAAGTCAGTACGGAGCAGCCATATATGGCAACATTGCAGGAGATTTGAATGACAAGGTGTGACAAAAGGAGTAGTTAATCAAACGAAGTCAATCTGACACTGGTTTGCTGTCCTAATAAAGATGTTCTGTAACCTCATCTTCATTCTGTGATCTGATCCATTGTACTATTCAGTGGAAATATCCTATCACTTCCCTATTACTTTCTTGTTGCAATGTTGTTTGCAAATAGGAAGAGGGAATCCGATGAACCTTTGCTTTTAATCAATAAGAAGTGCTCGGGTTAAGTTACAGAAGTAACTAATCGATCTGCTGAGATGGCGGAAGACAGTGATGACGAGTGCCCCGTTTGTGCTCAGAAAATGATCCTTCCAACGACTGTGCCTGGTTGTGGACATAAATTCTGCTTTCTTTGTATCAAAGGCAAGTTCATGTGCTGTTCCAATGTCTACAAGCTATTATACTAAGGCCCTTTCAGGTGCTGTTTTCCGAACAAACGAACATCTGTGTCCGATGTGTCGTGGGGAAGTCAGCACTTCCATATTCCGAAACCCTGCTATCAGAGGTATCAGTCTAGACATGCACGATCCTGAATCGCCCTCTGTCGTAGCACGATCATCGGTTCCGAAGTCAAATGGCGCTGGTAGGAGTTTACTCGTTCCTTGATTACTATCTGGAATTGCTTGGATTTGCCAATAAGAACTTTCAATCATTCGTATTATTCACTATGCATCACTGCATCTTTTGCACGCGCCGTTGAACTCATTGAATGGTGATTTCTACTTACTTAACTATGTATTTAATCTTGGGTTTTCAGGTGCACTATTCCTTGTACAATTGTAGGGCCTACGTAGGGCCGCATAGGCTTTTGTTGGATGTTAGGAGTAACTGGTGGAGAGTTTAGGTTCTCGACTGAAAAGGGCTCGAACGTACAGTGATGAAGCTGGTCCTTCCACAAGCAGCAAGAAGCGCGAGCAGTCCCATGAGCAGGAATCGGAGTCATGCCAAAAAGTACCTAATTCTGAAGTGGCATGCGGCGATGGACGGTACTACTGGTTGTATGAGGTAAACTTTTTCCGTTACCACAATGCGAAAAGTAGAAAGGGAACTGGACAGGACTCTTTTCCTTTGCAGAGTTTGAGTCTCTTGAAATTACCTGATGAAAGTTCAGGATTTCCCCCCTCCCCCAATTTGTAAACTTTGCAGTCAGCTTCGCATGCACTGCAAGCAATTTCGTAGTTTTCCCATTCTATTTCGTAGATTTTGAATCCTTCTCCTAAATGCTGCATACAATTTTGTGAACTTAAAGGTAAGCCTTTCACATGTCTTTTGTTAAACATATCTCTCATTCTAACTTTTATTTAGTGGTATTTTTTTCAATGATACAGTCGGAAATTTTCATGAACTTCACTTAATAATCGAATTTTATGAAATGATTACACTACTGTACAGGCACTACTAGTGCTAGTATTACTGAACGCTCCTCGATTCAAGCAACGCGGTATGTATAATAGCTCATTATGTTCCTGCTTAAAACTGATCACGCTTAATGGTGCAGAAAAATGCCACCAACACTCTGTCGAGTGTAGCCTCAGACACATCAACGGCAAACGTAGGCATACGCTTTTCCTTGAAATTTTTTGAGATTTTGAACAGTGGTGCTACAGTCATTCTTCACCCAGTTTTTGATCACTTGTTTTTGGGTTGTGTAAGTTTGTGACTGTTGTTGCCATTAGAACACAACAGTGCTCGAAGCCTCGCTAATACAATGGGCGCTCGTTCGCTCAATCCGCACAATGTTGGCGATCATCGGTGCGCTCTATCCGGAGAGGTAGGCATCGATGATTCTTTGCCGATCGACATCAGCAATCCCTCTCAGAACTGCACTTCTCTCCACCGTGAGCATCGCTGTTTTTTAGTCGAAATAGCTTTACATCAACGAACACCATACATGTGCGGTGAAAGTGTCGAAAGTGTTTGTTTCCCGCAAAATACCACGGCAAGTGCAGTATATAATCATTATTGTTGGATGCAATATTCACGAAATTGGTCGCATATGTTACGAATTGAAGTGGATAGTCTTATCGTACATATGGACCTTATTGTTAATCGATTCCAATATCGGGATGGGCGCGTCCCCGCATTCGACTTCCATTCTGAATCAGAATGGCATTTTGAATGCGTATGTGGAATATTCAGTGAATTGCGTGGGCCCCTTAGTACCACTCGGTGTTTTCATCCTCCCAGACGAGTCTGTTAGCAGTTAACCGTCCCCGGAGGGATGGAAGGCCTGGATAGCCCAAGAGAAATCGATCCGGAATTCGATGCCGGTCCATGCTTGTGTGAAAGTGCACAACTTGCGTATTGCCACCACTTGCCCGAGTTTCTAAGCACCGATGACACTTTCACTTTTCCATCATTTAGGGTCGTGACGGTTGGTGGAGATTTGATCCTCGATTAGAGAAGGATCTCGAAAATGGTCTTCGTTCGGAAAAGCAAACTGTCGAGTTGATAGTTTGTGGATTCAAGTGAGTGTTTTATTATGTGCTCACCCTAAATTTTTTCGAGCAATAGCGAAATTTAGGTATGATGTTGATTACGAGCAGATGGTTCAATATCGAAAAGGTGCCCCTCGACGGAAGAGAAAAATAAAGTATGGGAAAGTGTAAATGGTACCACGGTATTTCTGTCAAAGAACACTAGTGTTCCAGGCGAGTTTCCGAAGCAGAGTTCCAAGAACTCTCTAACAAAGGAGTTCTGATGGGAATATCTGGAGTGCGCCCGGCTCGGAACTGATTCCACTTTTTGGATAATGTGTTTTTACTAGCATGCTTGCAAAGAAGTTAATCGGTAATTTTCGTTGTGAAGCATGGATAGGATGTAATCTCATGGATATGACGAGTATATGAAGAATTCCGTCGGTTACTACCTTCTAGATGTTTAAACTTTTTTCGTAATAGGTGTTATGAGATGGTTCCTCGTGAAATGTAAACGGGGCTTGATCGAGAACCAATGCCCAAAAATTCCTCTGAGTAAATTCAAAAGAAGTGTAGCCCTAAGAACCATGCTGCAATGACAAAAGAAACTACGGTGTGGGTACTTCTTCCGAGTCTCGCATGGCTTTCGCCGCAGAAATCAGACTAAAACTACGGATTACTGCATAGTTTCACCGTTATTCAAGGTGAGACAAAGTTATGGAACAGAGCGTGGACGCGGGAACTTCATCTATCAAGGACCCTTTCATTCTGAAAACACATTCTTGTTGATATGTGGCTCCCTCTAAACATGTTCTTCAACGATTACGGAAAAATTGCTCTTTCAACGATGAAAACAATTTCCCTACCTTTCGCACCTTCGATGAGTTAGAGCAATTGGCATCTCCATTACTTGAATTTCTTCTTCTTTTTCTCCCCAGCGTTAGTCCCCCGCCGTCGCAGGGTCCGCGGTTCTTGTCAACCGTCTCCACTTCTTTCTAAGGCATCTTTAGCCATCACTTTAGCATTTTCTTTTGATCACGTTTCGTCATATCTTCTCTGGAGCTCCTCGTGGTCGCTTACCCTGAGTGAGCTTCATTGCCTCTCTTATCAGGCGACTCCGCTCAGTACATGCCCGAACCATCGCAGGCGCTCTTCTCTCTTCTTCGCTGGACTGGGGCTGTTTGCATATGTAGCCGCCCTGACGTCTTCATTTCTGATCCGATCCAGCCGCGTCCAACCACATTCCCATCTGAGCATTCTCATTTCAGCGGAGTGGAGCTGTCTCTCATAGTTACTTACGTTAAACACTCGCTGCAGTAAAGCATCGTGGGCCTTACAACTGCCCGATACATCTTTCCTTTGAGCGTCCTGGAGCACCGACGGTCTCAGAGGATACCTGTGGTCCCCCTCCACTCCATCCACGCCGCGTTTAATCGGGTTTCTACGGCTGGTCTACGCTGCCGTTAGCGACTAGATCACTCCCCAGAAATCGGAAGTCCGGAACCTTCTCGATCTTCCCCGAGGCCGTCAACGTCTGACTCCGTGCACTTTTCGAAACTGAGGAACTTGGCCTCTTCACTTTCAGCTGGAGCCCGCTCTCCATTAGCATTTTCTGCCATTTCTGCAGCTTCTACTGGAGTTCATGTTTGTTCTCTGCTATCAGAGCGATGTCATCAGTGTCATTTGTATCCCAACCGTGACGTTTATAGCTCCGGTTAGACCGTGTGGGGAGCGTATTTCTGTTGTGGAACTGTCGTACAGGTTCTTGACCAGAAAGGTAATGTGTTCTGAAACTCGGAGAGCTCTACAGAGGTCTTGCCGCGGGAGATGGTCGAATGCCTTTTCCAAACGAGGAAGGTTAGATAGCCTTAAATAGAAAGAAGTGGAGACGGCTGTTTAGCTCTACGCTTTTCTCGACACTTCTCCATAAATTGTCTAGCTATGAAATGGCATCCGCTGCAGAACTTTCAGGCACGGAGCCAAACTGCTCCTGTGAGATCGTGGCCAATTCTCTCAACCTTGACTCGGCCAACCGCAGTACAGTCCCATCTTGTGAGCAGTAGCCTGATCCCCTGGTGGTTGGGACACTCTATCGCGTCCTTCCTCGTAACGTCTTGCTGCTCTAGTAACTAAAACGAAAATTCAGTCCGCCACTCGGCTCTTACCGTAACCCCCTGGCTTGTCCGCCGCCCACCCCATGTCCTCCCCGTGTCCTTGCCCAAGGCCCCTTTTCGACGCGTCGTATATGTGACGGGTAAAAATTTGCGTGTTAACACGTGCCAGATTACTGTAAGAGCCGAGTGCCGGACTGAATTTTCGTTCCTGTGCTCTAGTACATGGGAATTATCGCTAAATTCAGTAAGCCACTGAAAGATGTTTCTCCTGGAACATTAGCACCAACCGATGGGTGCCAGTCGCGCGCGAAAGGTAGGGGGCTTGGTCGGTGGGCGCGCTACTTTGGATTTCGCATTGTCGTCAAAGGGTCAAAACAGGTACAACAATAGATCTTTTTTTTTTATCACCAGTCAGCTGACCAAAGGGACCTAAACATAATAATAACGAGTACCAATTGACATAACATAAAGCAAAGGAATAGGGAAGTAAAAAACAAATAAAAGAGAGGAGAAAAATTCAAAAGAAAACACATGGACAGAACGTAAGGGCACACCCCTACACGACTACAACCACAGCCACGATCAACGTTCGTTTAAATCACTCGGTGCTGCCGAAGGCGCTAACAGACTGGCAATCGAAACAGCCTTATGAAGGCGGTGCTACGAGGTGGGTCATGTTGTAAATGTAGAGCTACTAACGAGTAGGAGCCATCAACTGGCATAACATAAAGCGAGGGTTCGTCTCTTGCCTATAAAACCTTCTACTCCAACTACCTGGTGCATCTGTTAACATGACCATCAGTGGCGTAGGTCTCGTTTCAACTCTCCTTTCCGTCGTCACTTCGTCCCCTATGCTCTGAGTAGGCTCAAGCGTATCATGACAGTGGTTCTAACCAAGTAGAAGCTTTCTTAGTTTTCTGAGACTGATCAATTGATTCCATACTTGTGTCTTTCTCTGAATTCTGAGTTGAGCTTGCATTATGTGTTAGTTGGTTTTCGTTTTATTTTACTCATTTCTCAACTGTTTTATCTTTTGTTTCGCATGGCCTATTATGTTGATTTTGGAAGGTTTTTTTCTTCTGCGTTTGCCTTAGCAGCGTAATGAACGTACCATAACATAATTTCCTCATGCAGAGCTAAAAGAGAAGAGCTTCAGAAAGGTCAAGTTTTTTAGTCTTCGCGCTTTTTTTTTTTTNATTTTTTCGTCTTTTGCCTATAAAAGCCAAGTGGAGCATTGATAAATGTTATACGAAAATCCATTTTGTGCATGCGGACCTAGTATTCGGGATGTGGGATAACCAGGTACAGTAACTTGCAGATCTACAGTGAGAGCAAACAAGTTTGCCGAGTTATGTCATGTGCGTGGTTACGGCTGCAAATTTGAGTGTGTGATGCGGTTAGCCCTAGTCGACAGCTTCGGTGGAACCCATTTGGTGATTAACAGGAAGGATGGGAGCCCGGCCTCAATTGGGCGATTCGACTACTATTCCATAAAGATGCTACATAATTAGTTAGTATCTTCTGTTGTTCATCTGCAAACAAAAGCATTTACGAAATATTAGAACTTTCTTTCTTTTGTAAATACCTACTATCACATAACAATCATGTTAACTTTGTAGATGTCTCCATCAATATCGGACGAATAACTGTTACAATTACGATACAATGTTATGCGGGTACTCGCCGGTTTTGGTAAGAATTGCTAGCGATTATCCTGGAATCTATCCTGAAGAGTGACGCATCTGAACTTAAAAATTTATGCATTTTCATGATCAGGAATTTAACACAATTCGGAGCGACTTAAATTTCCTGGCACCCAGAATGGAATGTCCAGCCCAACCGTCCTCCATGACCCAGTTTGGAGTAAAAACGAAAGCCCAAATCCAGTTCTCTTTGCGTTCGTGGACTTAAAAACCGTCCCATTTGCGATTTGCAGCGCTTGATACACCCATTTTAAAACGGAATTCAGGCGAATATCGGTCACCTAAAAATCATAAGAGTGATGAGGGAAATTTTCTCATCTAAGTTTTGTGTTGCTGTTTAACAGCTTTCATCCGAGTACTTAAATTACTCAGTGAAGAATTGCTCCAACAATTGCGGAGGGGGGGGGNGGGGGGGGGGGGGGGGGGGGAGGAACGCAATCAGGGGCGGATCTATGACTCGACGTTGGCCTCAGAGAATGGTAGCGGACCAGGACAGCTGTTCGCCTAAGGAGCTTTTTCAACGGATTCGTACAGTAAGTCTAAAAAGCGTGGTCAAATCACCCTGAACGACCGGAATTCCCATCCAAGAGACTTTTGAGGCCGTTCATGGTTGACTACACGGTATGATTATGAATATCTTCTGCTCTTTGGTTGCATCTCCAAAATCGGTAACGAATTTGAAGTCTATCTATCCATGAAATTGTCTTCTTCGAAGGCTTCGCAGTTATGTGGCTCTTGTAGATCTTTGGAGTCGATCATGAGGCCGCCTCAGGGGGAAACTAGTCAGCAGCGATACCCGTGGGTGGAGAAGTCGCACCCGCTTCATCCAGGACGCGTGTGGATTGCGCATTAGCGGTATGCGGCGAAAAAGTCTAATTGAAATCCGGTTTCATCCGTCTGCGACTGCCCCGAATCGGCCGCCGTGACTTTTCAGGATCCATGTCGCGCGGCGGTGTCGAAGGATCATCCATCGATCCCATGGAAGGCTCAGGTTCGTCCCCTACTCGTGTTCTGTCATCACTATCGTCGATCATCTGTGCTGACAAGCTTCCCATTGTGACAATTCAGAGTCGAACAACAGCATGTGTGATCTTTTGAGGGAGGCGTTCTCGGCCACGGTCGCTCGCGACTATGAGAAGTAAGCGATCCAAGCACTTTCGTAGAGTCTAATCATTGATACAAATGTCTCTTCCTCCCGCTCGTCGAACTCTGTGGCTATCATTCTTTCCTCCCCCTCGGACTTCCATGGATAAACATTCGATTTGCCGTATTTTTGACAGTCCATTGCCCTCGGTAAAGTGAGCGCAGCGGGATGGACTCGCACCTACGCGATTACCAAAATGAAGGTCATATTAGGGTTCATATGGTCTTTCCTTCGCACTGTCGGCTCTATTGCCTTCATTGAATTCATTGGTACACATGTATACATCCATTCCTCAGCATGCCATCAGATTTGCCAAAGTTGAGACGTTGTCTGGGGGCCAATAATTGATGTCTGGGGTGAGACGGCTTTTGTGACCCGGTTTATTCGGACCGGTTATACGTGGAAACCAGCTTAAACTAGCTCTTATTAGGTTTTCTGATCATTTCGGAGCGCCAGACATTTGTAGTCCTTTAGCTTTTTGTTTTGTTATTACTCCAGACGATTGGAGGCCATCCTACACGTTTTTTCGTTGTCTAGTTCCTAGCTAGTGTTGAAGCTTCATTTATATAGTGTAGATGAAAACACGTATTCAAAGTGTTAGGAAGAAAGTTCTCATGGAACAGCCTCTCTCATGAAGTGCTGGAAAGCAGGCAATCTCATTTCCTTTCATTACAGTTGAAGAAGTTCACTTCACCCAATTCCCGCCCTTGCAGTCATGTTCCATTCACTGTTTTGTTTCGCTACTTACCTTTCCCAGAATGAAAGAACCATTTTTATGCTAAACCAGTGAAAAATCGTAGTGAAGGCCATGTGCTGGAGCTGTGATCCCCACGAAGGAGCTGAAAGAAACTAAGGAAAGTTAGAAAGGGTATGAACATGAGAAAAGAGCTAACGAATGGAGAGTAACGAGAAGGCGCAACCTGATGAACCGGCGAGAGAACGCTTAGCCTTTGCCTCATGCATTTTCCATGTGCTCGTACATGAAGGAACATACTCGAGAAAGGATTTCCAGCCATCCTCTATGGCTATAAGCATTTTCAACTAACCAAGTGCTATCAGCGCCATTCTAACCCATTTTATCAATTCAAAATCGTTTCTGACAGTAAAAGAATGTGAACCGCAGCCTTGAGAAACGAGGCTTGCTGAAGAAGCAGGTGTTTTTGAATTACTTGTGTTTCTTCCCCCTCCCCCACCCCTCCTCCCCTCTCCCAACCATCTGAACTCCTTTTTTTTACCCGAAAATGTGTTCATTCAATAACAGTCACTAGTAATTCAGGGCAGTGTCGGTGGTTCGATGTGCGGTGGCGACTGACTATGCGTTCGGCGTTGAAGATCTGGAACTCATGGATCACGTCTATGCCTGCATTCTCAACACATCACATTACGACGAAAGCGTGATTGAGGTCAGGTGACTGGGGCTGGAGCTTATACTATTTCCATGACTCGAGTTTCGACGCATCGACCATGATGGCACCTCCTGACTCATAGCCACAATTGCGGCTACGAACGAATGCATCTAACTCGTATGAAGTTTTCTTTTTACTAATCACGAAGTGATATCTTCTTTAGCATATCTGCATGAGATCAGGAGGGTATCGCAGGACTTTTTGCATCTATTTTCTACTGAGGCCGTACCACTTTTTGGCTTCACTGGATACGGAACAACAGAAATTTCGTTCAGTTCACAAAATTTCGTTTAAATTTGAGTTGTGCATTTCTGCGGCGCCCTTCTGATCTCACGTAAATATGCTTAAAAGATATGGTTCCGTGATTAGTTGATTGATAAATGAAAAAACCATCAATCGAGTTGGGTTGGGCGATTTGTTTGTAGCGTAGAATAGGCTATGAGTCAGGAGGCGCCATCGTGGTCGATGCGCCGAGACTCGGTCATAAGTCTGTGATTATGAGAGTGCTAGATCTGCCTCACACTGACAAGTCAGCGATTCTCCCACGATAGAGGACTTAATTCTCTACTTCCTTTTTCATATTGTTACCCTTCGTTTCCATGCTTGCAAAAAGAAAAATGCAGATTGCCGGTGAAATAGCCGACGCTTGTCCTTGTGTTGCAATTAATACAGCAAGGGAACAAATTCATGTCGAGTAGTTGAAGGTACAGTCCACGATAGAAAAGGTTTCTAAGAATTCCTCCCTTAGATGAACCTGTAAATTCCCAAAGATAGCGTAGGGTCGCTGTCGGGTTGAAAAATAGCTTAGATATTTCCTCAAGTGAGCCCTACATTGGGTTAGCCGACGTACACGCCTGAAATCGGACGAGTTTTCAAGGCGTTGTAGGGCCTGTAGAGGTTCCGCGATTCGCACTGAGACGCACACATATGCACGCAGGCAGCTTAATGTACTTAGATGTTACAATAGCACACACATGTGGACAGCTCATCCAGTTACTCCATCCATGCAACTTTTGTCGTCACATTATCGTCCAAAGCATGATTTCACTACTTTTTATAATTCTTATATTCCGCTAGATGCACTGATTTCCTCTTTTTCATTTTCGCTTCAATCCGGAGCCTCGTTTCCATTATTTATCTAGAACTATAGGCTCAAAATTGTCGCGAACTTGTCTTTAAGATCTTACTTGCGCTGGAGAGCTGGTGATATCATCTATCTATTATACAGCACCCTGTGGTTCGTTCCAACGCTCACTTTCATCCAATTGTTCCTTTCAATGACAAAAACTTAGTAAAAGGAACAAAGTCAGAGGTAATTTGTTNTATCTAGAACTATAGGCTCAAAATTGTCGCGAACTTGTCTTTAAGATCTTACTTGCGCTGGAGAGCTGGTGATATCATCTATCTATTAAAATACAGCACCCTATGGTTCGTTCCAACGCTCACTTTCATCCAATTGTTCCTTTCAATGACAAAAACTTAGTAAAAGGAACAAAGTCAGAGGTAATTTGTTTTGCTCTTTTAACTTGGGTCGAGCTCAAAAACACATTAACCCTCCTTGTGTGGTGTCTTCATTCAGATTTTCTCAGAGTTGTCATCAACCGAAGCCTGATGTCATACTCCATGGTACTACGATTCCGACTCTTTATTTTTTCTTTACTTTTTGTCAGAGAAAATTCTTGAGAACGACATAAGCGAACCCTTTTTCGAAGATCGGTATGTACCAGGATCTACTATCACCCACGAGATTTCGGCATTTCTTTTTGTCTTGTTTTTGTGAGGATACTGAGCTGTGGATTGAGACAGTCAGGCCAAGCCTTTCTGAATTTCAAACTTGCACTTTTTTATGCCTACGATATCCCCTTTTCCGGTGACAGTTTCCCCACAGTGTGTGTGGGCAATATCCTGAGAGCGAAGGAGAGTAGTATGAATTTGACACATCACCCAATAGACTGATTTCAGGTGTGCTGGGAATGGATTGACGCATTGGAGCGTGCTCCTCGTTTGAAAGACCCTCGCGTCGTGTCCAGCTCTCAGCTGAGTATCTACTATGCTTACCACATGGTTAGGGATTTTCACATTTTTTCACTGCAGGTCTGAGAACGGGGCGAAAATACGATCCCTTGTAGAAATCAATGCATGCACTTTAATTTCATTGTTCAATCTGGACATCTTTACAGCTTCTGTGAAGGCTTCCAATTCAGATTTCTCGAGTGCAGGAACGAATGCCTCGTCGTGCAAACCATACACAGGCGCGAGCGGACGCATGGCGTCGAGTCAAACGTAGTTTTGAGTGAGTCACAAGGTCTCACGTTCCCGTTTCCACAACTATCAGCACTTGACGCTTTCAGCTATCTGTGGTCAGCTGCTGTACAACTTTGGAAGCCTTTTGAATTGGATCGTCTCGACATTCTGTGCAGCTGGTCCTATTTAGCACTGCAGTTCTCCGACGCCGTCGACGAGGACACACTCGAACTTATTGAGGTTCAGCTTTTTTTTCAAAATTCATGCAACGATTACCTCTTAAGGTGATGTCCGAACCTTTAATGAAATATTTACCGATTTAACTGTTTTACACTTTCTGTACAGTAAGTTAGGTAGGGTCTGTTGACCTGATAAGTGGACGTTTTGAACAGAATGCGAGGACCTTGAGTCGTAAATTCTGGGAGACTTTTTGTGGATGATTAATATCATGTCTAGATAAATCAACTGGGTGCAGCCAGGCTGCATTTGTGACAGGACATGGGTTTTTGAGAATCGTCTGGCGATACGATATTTTATTGTTATCTTCTAATATGTATATGACAGGGACATATTTCAGACAGCGAAATGTCAAGCAGCGCATGTCCTGGCCACTACAATCGTTGTCGAGAACGCCCATCAAGCAAATCAACGAGTGGCAACGGTTGAGAGAAACCTCAAGGAGGCAAAAGCCTTGGCAGAGAAACTGGGAAAGAAGGTGAGACATTAGCAAAGTCAGTGGCTATTGCCGTACTGCCGCCATTCTTCTTTCTGGAGGATTTCAGTTGAGGTTGGTTCCCGAGATTTTAAGAAGGGAAGAGGGAGAAAGTGTGAAATCGTATGACTAGTCTGTTGCTAAACTGGCAATCGCCCATTGAAAGCTGCTCTTTTTTGCTCAGGCCAGTCTGCTAACATTCCTTTTTGGGGTACCCACAATCATCTGGTTGCCCGCCGTAAAGGAGACTAGTGCTCAGAATGACCTTCTGAAATATCTGTCCCAAAAAACCCTCCTAGAGAATTGGTGTAGAGAGAATCAAATTAAGTCAAGCTGGTAACGAGTATCATTGGAATAGCCAGGTTGTCGCTAGCAAAGTAAGACGGATAGTGCGAAGTCGGGAGGGGAGACACAATGGGCAGGACAAAAAATTTTTCCGTACTTTCAGCGGTTCCTCTTTATCGGAATATCCATGGACCCAAAAACCAGGAAAGAAAAAGGGTAGGCGAAATGTAAAAGTAAAGGGGAGAAACGTCCTTCTCTGAGGGGCATGCTGAGGCGCATATATTTCGAAGTACTTTTATGTCAGGAGTACTGTAGGAGCTAGTTTGTTCGAAAGAGCATATGTGACCGGAACCACAAATAGTTTTTGTGAACTCCATCTCACTTTGGTCTTGTGCTTGTATCATTAGGTTTATGCATTAACACCCTAGAGCTGAATCTTCAAAACCCACAGAAAACTCTTTTTTCCAAGCCTCATATTTTCTCGTGGAATTTCACGGGTTATATTTATGATTACGAAAAACAAAGCGAAGGTTTCAGTTCGGTGCCAAGGAGCAGGCGGTGACGATTTCGCTGATGTCGAACGAAGGCGAAGAAGAGGAAGGCGGCGTTCCAGCAAAGCGACGCAAGGAAGACGAGGAGTAGATCGCTGAAAGACGTCGACACCCTTGGTCACTAAGCGATCCGAAGGTTGAGATTCGCGTCTCCTTGTACGTACTATTTACGTGTGTGTGCGGCGGCTGCAGTTGAATTCTCATTGATCTCTTCATTTTTACACATGCATGATGAATATTTAAGTGTTATCGAAAAATGTACAAAAGATCGCAGCGAATAGGCGGTGAATGTGCTGGCTAGACGTTTCGCAGTATACACATCAAGCGAGACTGACTAGAAAGAGGACCATTTGGCGATAGATTTCCTGGGCGTCCAAAATGTCGCCCACTACTGAACAGCCGATGTCTGGGAATGGGATCTAATGATCGACAAGATCGGACAGTGCTTCACTAGCAGCCCCTTTGTCGTCAACCTCTGACTTCTTTTCCGTGTCCTCCCCTTCCTCTTTGGCTCGTCGCTGCTTCTCCTGCTTCCTGTATTTGGCTCTCCTATTTTGAAACCAAACCTGTAAGACCAGCATTTTCAACTACCCTTTCGTAGTATTAGAGCGTATAACATACCTGAACTCTCGCCTCCGTGAGGTCAATTCTCATAGCAATATCTTCACGTGTGTAGATATCGGGATAGTGACTCTCCAGAAAGCTTCGCTCCAACTCCTTGAGCTGACCGGACGTGAAGGTTGTTCGAATTCGTCGCTGCTTACGTCTCTCAGATGGATTCCCGCACAGAGCCCCTGAAAAATAGTACCTTAGAAAAGCAAATAAATCAATTTTCGCAGATCCGTAAACCGTATACATTGTTCAGTTCTACCATAAATCGCTCCATTGCCATAATGGCTCTGCATAACCGATCCAGGAAAAGCTTATAAGTAAAAAATTCTGCATGAATCAACGGCTACATATGTATTGGGCTGTCCGAAAAGTTTCCGCCGATTTTTGATACCCCGGATTTATCAACCGTTGTACAAAAGATCAAGGACCCAACCTAATAAAGTTATATGTTTTCTGAAAGAGTAGATCCTCCTCTATATTACTGTTGGAATTCTGTCAACATTTGTCGAAGTTTATCTGTACAGGGCTCGTATGAAAATGGAGAACCACTGCGCGCATTTTCGGCATCTGAAGTATTTCTTCTATCGCAAATCCTAGAATGCGGCTCAAGCCGCATGAAAGATATGTGACGTTTGTGAAGGCCATGCCCAACAGGAACGTACAGTGCATGACTAGTTTGCGGGAACCAAACAGAGTGAATTTGCCTTCGAAGACCGGCAACCTTCAGGGTGACTATGATCAATTTAAACGACCAACTCAAAATGTTAACCGAAGCGAATTGGCGCATCACTGCTCGTGGAGTAGGACAAGGGCTTAGTGTTTCGAAACTAACCA